GGAGGGGTTGCATTGGGGGGTCCACACCCCTTTTGATGGTGAGATGAGCCTCCTCAAATAAGCTCCTCACTCTATCTCCTCATTATAGAAGCTCCCAAAAACATATCCTCATCTTGAAATGCGCCTTCTTTAACTTTTTCGACTCTCGTTCGCATTGGGTTGGCAATGTAAATCCACAAAGTCCCCAGTTTCCTTCCAATAATTTGGGCCACTGAATTTGAAGCTTTGGTCAGTTGATATAATTGGCCCATAAAATATTGTTCTAAACAAAAAACAAAAGAAAATTATCAATAAGCTCCTCTTCTCAGGAGGCCAATATTCCCAACATCATACGAGAGTTTAATAACAATTGAAGAAGGAAAATTACAAAACCAAATATAAAAGTAATCTACATCTTGTTCAAAATTTGCTAACGCATTTGCATCCATATTAGCTTCTCGATAAATATGCCAAACATACTAAGGATAGAGATCTTGAGTAATTGCCAAGTATATGTGACAATTGAAGATATTCGCCAAGGAGTAGTAGTCTTGCATTTTAAAATGTTGATTAAAACTTGTGAGTCTCCTTTAATACACAAAGAAGAAATACCTGATCATTTTTGCTCAAATGAGTCCATATTTTAAAGCCATTGCTTCAACTTGCAAGATGAGAGTAATATCTAAAGGAAAAGAACCATCCATTTTAACCTTTGTACGAGCTTTTTTGTTCCAGCGGCTACAGATGGGTCTGGGCTGCTATAAAGAGCACATGGGTGGAGTTGCCCATGTGTCTGAGTAAAATAATCAAACTCCAATAGTGCTTCAAAAGGTTCGTGGAGCCTTAGGAAGCACATTGGTTTTTTTCACCAACAAAACAAACAGTTGCTTACAGATAAATATTTTGGCTTAACTTGAGAAGCTTGTAGCATGGGAGCTGAGCATTCACGAGTTTAGCATTAGAAAGAGAAGACTTGGATTTCCTATGAGAAACAAAGGTTCAAAGTAATGGGAGAGGGAATTTTGAGAGGATTTGTTGAGGGAAGAGAGGAAAAGATGAGGGTGGAAGAATATGTGGTTTTAACAAATTTCCGGCAGCTTGACGAAAACTTCAACAGGCTTTTGAGCGTTTTGCCAGAAGAGACAAGTGGAAGAAATGGAAGAACATGGCTCTAAATTGAAAGGTTCCAGTAGTGAGAAGGGATGTTTGCTCTCTCTCTCTCTCTGGATGTGGTTATTTGCTAGGTAGGAGATGCCCCCTTTTATAGGCGCTGGAAGCTCCTTCTTCCCAAGAAACCCTAGCTGGTTCCCCCCAAATTTATCAAGTCTTCTCCTCTATTTCCCTTCTCTTCCTTTGATTCATCTTCATTTTGTGAAATCCCCCTAATCCAAACATACAGAGACAAGATTTTTGGGAGCTCTAGAGTCTTCCCGCAGCTGTCCTTGTGGCACTTTCCTATCTCTAGCAACACTCTCTCATTCTTTCCTCCCTTATTTTATAACAAGACCTGGTGGGGGAAAGAAGTGGGTAAAGGTGTTGGTCTGAAGAGTGTTCTACACCCAGCAGCCTGCACATACAAGTATCCTTCAGTTTTACAAATGGTCTGTCTTGGATTTAGCTTTGGCCATGTGCTAGAGGCTTCATGAGATATTTTTCTAAGTTGTTGGGCCACTTCCTAAGGTGATGAGTTAACTTACTAAGGTGATGGGCTAATTTTCTCTCTTTCATGCTTACTCACATATTTGGGCTCAAGAAATGGGATCGAGTTTTGGGGTTTCCAAATAGCCCAAAACTTCCACTTCTTGGCTCATTAATGGGCCTCGTGAATGCTCGTAACCATCCATACGACAACCTACTCAGCAAGCCTCGAGCATTTGTGTGACTTGGCCCACTTAAGCTTGTGGCGTGGCTAGGTGCAAAATAAAGGTTTTCTGCTTGGCATTGCATGTTGTTTGGCATGCTCGTGCTCAAGTTTTATCGCATTGTAAAGGGCTATGGTCATGCCAAAATGACATTTGACGAGATAATAAGCATGGGTTCATAAAGTCGATACATTTTACGGGCTTGTTACGACTTTTGAGGTGATGAGTTATATATTTGCTTGGCATGGCACGTGGATCATGACTCGTGTGAGTGCGTACGACAAACTATCGTGTACCCAAATAGGGTTTCTTCTCAGTAAGGTGTCGTACTAGGCTGAAAATATACTTGGGCCAAGCCTTGGATTTTTTGGGCCTCAACAACCTTCCCATTACAATCTCAAATTGCATACCCAACTAGTGCAACATCAATAATTTTTATCATTATAATATAAGCGATACTACAAGAGGAACAATATTAATATATCGTGGGGGTTCGAGCTTGAGACTACTAATCTGCAAGTTAATGTCATTTTTTCATTGGACTAGACCCTATAAGCGCAATAGCCATCAAAGTTTAATTTCCAAACATTTTCATTTGGTAGCTCCCATTTAATATAAGGAAAATGTTAGGGGCACCAACTTTGGGCACCAACTCTCTAATAGAGCATGAGACCCGTTGTATTGGCGGGCTCCACCTCTATTAGAGAGTTGGTGCCCAAGTTGATGCCCAAAGTTGGTGCCTCTAGCACCACCCTTAATATTAGGCGTGGGCACGGTCCGGTTTGGTCCGGTTTCACCCTCAAACCACAGCTGAACCAATTAAACTTTCACGGTCCGGTGTGGTTCGGTTTGAGCTAAAATCAAAATGAAAACCAAACCAAACCAAACCATTCATATCCGGTTTGGTGCGGTTTGGTTCGGCCGGTTTAGGCATAAAAGAAAACATGCTTACAATAACACAAAACCTGTTAACATCTGTATTCCATCAAATAATCCTAAAACTGAACTTGCTCCTAACAAACATAAACATTTTCATCAAAGTTCATCCAAAATTCCAGCAACAAACTTCAACATACAATCCCATATTTTCAAACAAATACAAACAAATTTCAATACCCAATCGATTAATACAATTGGAAATTACATACCAACTAGTCAGCTACAACATTCATTCTGATTTTATCAAATTAATGCAAAGAACAAAAAGCCAAACAAACACATTTCTTCTTATTCTTCTGCAAGGCATTTCTGAGAGAGCCATTAACCATATA